TGCAGGAATGGTGAGACCGTCGCCCGCGCCCTGAGATCAGGCCGCCTGCTCACTGCACTCTTGTGAGCCGCCAGGGGGTCGGCACCCCCACCTGGCCGTCCTTTGGGGCACACTTGGAGGCACGCTTATGGGATGCACGCAGTCGAGTCAGACGTCCTTTTTTGTTGTCTCTCTCTCTCTCTCTGTCTTCTCTGTGTCTGTCTGTCTGTCTCTCTCTCTCTCTGTCTCTCTAGTCTCGGCTCAAGGGACCCTCGCGTCCCTGAGAGCCACTGTGCCGGGCGCCCCGGCTTCCCGTTGTCCCGTCGAGACTGGACGGCGGTCCCACTAGCCGCCCACCGACGGGACACCTCTTTCCCTGCATTTTTCAGCTCCGTGGCCGCGCTGCCATGTCAGGCCGCGTCGCCCCGTGCGGCTGCTCCCGCGGCACCCAAGAAGCAACGTGCGCCACGCCGTCCTCCCGACGAGTCCAGACTCGCTGTGAAAGGGGCCTGCGTGGCCGCTTTCCAAGGCGTGGGAGCTGATCGTGTCACTCCAGCATTCGACCAGTTCCTGTCGGTCGCATCTTCCAAGACCGACCGCGTCTACCGCGAGCACGCCCACTACCCAATCGAGCTCCGCAAGGCCCTCCACCGATTTTGCGGCATGGCCCACCAGCGGTCCAAAGATCAAACATGCCGCGGAGGTGGGCCCAAATGCCCATCCCGCCGCCCTGGTTTCCACAGTGAGTCCGACTCCCCATTGATGAACTTCCGACGCTGTACAGTGGTCCGTCCCAGTCATGGCTCAGCGGTGACTCGCTCCACATCAGCATCCCCCTCCCTGGCCACGAGAAGGGAGAACTGCCCTGCCAGCTCATGTTTTTGGCAGTGTAATTGTGTCGCGGTGGTGAGGGCGATGCAGACGTCGAGGGCGTCATTGCTGTGTGTTTGGATGTTTAGTTTTCCGATATCAGGCTGAGCTCAGTGTTTGATTGTGAGGCCCTGGGGCCAGGGCCTGTTGGAGTTTCTTTCAGTACGAGGCCCTGCGATGCAGGGCCAATGTGATTGCTGTCCGTACTCACGTTGGCTCAAGGCTGAAACATTTGTGTCGCCGCCGCTGCCACATTTTGTAACGGAGCTGTGTCCGCTCTGAGCCAGGGGTGCATCTCTTGGGCGCGCGATGGCGTCCGACTAAGGTGCTCAAGGGCTCGGGGCCAGCGCCGTCTCCAGAAGACTGACTGGCGTGGTGTTCACGGTCTACGGCAATGGGGGCGTCAGGGATTAGAGAAACCCCATGAGGGCAACCTCACCCTGGCATTGCTGATTGGCGAAGGGTGCTCAGCAGTTCCCAGCCTTCGCCAGTCCCCGCCGCCTCAGGCCTGACGGCAGAGCAGATCACCAAGCTGGTCAACGGCATAGTCCGCGAGATTATCAGTACCACTACGGCTCCAGGGTCGTTTGCGTCGGGTCCACAGGCAGCAGCAGCACTGTGAGAGTTCGACCCTTGGAAGCACGCAGCTGACGAATCCAGGCAACATCAGCGGAGAGGCAACGACAAGGGCGATGGCTCGCGGCACGAGGCGTACGGCAAGAAGGACGATGATGGCGAGTGGTCCTGGCGTGACGGGCTCAGCTAGTAGTGTTGGCAGCATTGGGATCGCAGCCCCCCCAGTCCTCTTCGATTTTTTTTTGGGGGGGGGGCGTCTTTGTCGCGCGCAACTGGTGGTTGTGCAGCGTCGACCGCGGGCTTGCGCGGCGGTGGCAGCGGCGGCGCGGGCGCTGCCCGCGTTGCGCAATTTGTTCCGCCCCTTCGCGTTCCTCGCGCCCCGCCTGCCGCCCGTTCCCTTAGCCAGTTCGGTTCAAGCCATGTCGCTCTGTAGCTGCAGGCGCAGCTGGTGCCGCGGGCGCGACGCTGGGCGGCTCGGCGGGCGCCGGGGGGCCGCCCGGCGTGCGCCCCCAGTGCCACGCCGGGCGGTGCGACGGGCGCAGCGGATATCTCGGTGAGCGCCGTGGCGGGCGCCGTCGACGCGGTGCTGATCAGGTGGCCGCGATTAGCTCCCGTGGGCGTATTTTCAGCGAGCGGCGTTCGGCGCGGCACCAAATGAGGGCGGCCCGTCGGGCAGCGCGGCCGCGGCGCAACGCAGCGCGACGGGCGCGAACGTCTGGGCGCTGGGCAGCGCGACCGAACGCAACAACTCCATTTCGACAGTCGATAGGGGCCCGAATTGCGGACGCCGGCATCGCGAGCTCGATCGCCGCTGCAGGTGCCATCGTCGCAGCGCGGACCTGCGCAGCGACGCGCGGCGCGACGCCCTTTTTTTCTTCCGCGCGGGGGCGCAGCGTGGACTAGCGCCGCGGCGCTGGCCCGCTCGACGAGCGCCGCGATCGCGACGCATATCAGCTCGACGGGGTGCGGCGACGCTGTTCTGAAAGACGCTGGCGGGTCGCCCGCCGCGCGCGTCGCTGGGCTGGGCGAGGCGACGCATGGCGGCAGCGCGCCGCCGAGCAGCGCAGCCAGGTGCTGTGCGGGGCAAGCGGTGTGTGTGTGTGTGTGTGTGTGCTCTGCGATCGGGAATCTCGCGTGGCCAACGCGTGGAACCCGCGTCGCTGCTGCTTCGAACGGTGCTTGGGTGGCGCCCGGCGCCGGCGCGGCGCGGCGTCTCCCCGGCGCCGCCGCGGGGTCTTCGCGATGACAGGCCGAGGCCGCGCGGGGTAAGTGCTTGAAATTGCAGCGCCGTCGTGCCGTGGGCGTGGTGGTGTCGCGTCGTTTTTGGCCCATCGCTTCAACCTCCGCCCCCCTTCCCCCGCGGGGCAAGATGCGGGGTGGTCGCCGAGGGTCGTCTCCTGGGGCGGCCTAGAGTGATCTCTTCTCCTTCCCCTCCTGCTGCGTTCCCCCTCGCTTCCCCCGCCCCCCCCCGCGATCGGCCAATCATTTTTTCCCCACATCCAAAGTGGGGTTCTTGTTTTCTCTGCACACCCCCCGCGCAGGATCTCACACCCTCTCTCTCTCTCTCTCTCTCTCTCTCTCTTCCTCTTTCTCGCCATCATCATCATCAGTCATCATCATCATGACCCGCGCCTCTCCTCCTCAGCACCATCACACTTACCCATGCACCACTCGATCGCTCACTCACTCACTCACTCACTCATCATGATCATCACATGAGGATATCATCCGTTGGCGTCACACATCACTCAGTCAGTCCGTCACTCACTCGAGTATCAAGCGGGAGCGTCGTCTGTGAGTGAATTGCGAGGAAGTCTCAGGCGGGAGCCTCTCCCTATGGGGCCCGCAGATCATCTTACTGATCCGAGGCGGGTCATCGGGATCCTGTAACTGTCGTCACTTTTGGGCTCCTGGGGCGTGAATTTGGAGGAAGTATCAGGCGGGAGCGTCGTCTGTGGGTGAATTGCGAGGAAGTCTCAGGCGGGAGCCTCTCCCTATGGGGCCCGCAGATCATCTTACTAATCCGAGGCGGGTCATCGGGATCCTGTAACTGTCGTCACTTTTGGGCTCCTGGGGCGTGACTCTGGAGGAAGTATCTAGCGGGAGCCTCGTCTGTGAGTGAATTGCGAGGAAGTCTCAGGCGGGAGCTTCTCCCTATGGGGCCCGCAGATCATCTTACTAATCCGAAGCGGGTCATCGGGATCCTGTAACTGTCGTGACTTTTGGGCTCCCGGGGCGTGAATTTGGAGGAAGTATCAGGCGGGAGCGTCGTCTGTGAGTGAATTGCGAGGAAGTCTCATGCGGGAGCCTCTCCCTATGGGGCCCGCAGATCATCTTATTAATCCGAGGCGGGTCATTGGGATCCTGTAACTGTCGTCACTTTTGGGCTCCTGGGGCGTGAATTTGGAGGAAGTATCAGGCGGGATCGTTGTCTGTGAGTGAATTGCGAGGAAGTCTCAGGCGGGAGCCTCTCTCTATGGGGCCCGCAGATCATCTTACCAATCCGAGGCGGGTCATCGGAAACCTGTAACTGTCGTCGCTTTTGGGCTCCTGAGGCCTGGATATGGGAGAAGTATCAGGCGGGCGCTCCATCCCTGTGGGGCACGCACTTCATGTTCGAACCCGAGCGGGTCATCCGAGCGAGCTTTTTGGGCTCTTCAGTTCCTGCGGCCTGAACAAGGGGGAAGTATCAAGCGGGAACTTTGTCTGTGGGCGGTGCGGGTAGTCCCGTCTGAGGACCGTCTCTTGTCGTCACTTGGAGGATCGAAGGGGAACTCGCTCCTGCGGCCTGAATTTTCTCTTTCGACTTGCCCACGTCCAATTGCTGGCCAACCTTGTCGTCGTCGGCGGGAGAGGGAACTTGAAAAGGTTCACTCTCCCGCGTTCGTTTGGGCTGGGGAGGGAACTCGAAAAGGTTCACTCTCTAGCTGCGGGAGAGGGAACTTGAAAAGGTTCACTTTCCCGTTCGTGGCAGGATTGGGCTGGAGAGGGAACTTGAAAAGGTTCGACGTCTCTAGCTGCGGGAGAGGGAACTTGCAAAGGTTCCCTGCCCCCCCTTGTCGTCGGAGCGAAGGGGGAACTTGAAAAGGTTCACCCTTCATTCGCGGGAAAGGGAACTTGAAAAGGTTCACTTTCCCTTGGAGAGGGAACTTGCAAAGGTTCACTCTCCAGCAGCGGGAAAGGGAACTTGCAGAGGTTCACTTCCCCGCGCGTTCCAACTGGAGAGGGAACTTGAAAGGGCTCCCTCTCCAGCAGCGGGAAAGGGAACTTGCAAAGGTTCACTTTCCCGCGCGTTCCAACTTGAGAGGGAACTTGAAAAGGCCCCCTCTCCAGTTTTTGTCTGACCCCCCCTTTTCCTAACACCGATGTTTCAATGGACTAAGGGGTCACTAACGCAATTTTTTTCTCGGGCGTCGGGGGGGGAATCGCGCTGGCCGGAAACGGAGCTGAGCCTGGCGCGGGCGCTCGATGGAAAACCCTCACGAAACGCTTTGAAATCGATGATTGCGGATGACGAGCAGCACATTTTGCAATTTCCCCATAGGGGGCCGGCGCCGTCGCGGCCGCGGGACCAGCCGACGCCACGGCGGCCGGGGCGCAGGATATGGAAGACGCAGACGTTCAGGCGTGCAAGGAATCCCGGTACGTGAGCGCGTTCAGCGAGGAGGACATCCCGGGCGCGGCCGCCTCGGCGGGGGCCTTGGAGGTGACGGCGCTGATCAAGCAGCTGGAGGAGCTGGACGCGACAGCGCAGCGCTCCGTGGCCAAGGAGACAGAGCACGCCATCGAGTCAGGCAGCGCGCTGCTGGACGAGGCGGGCAGGGAGCGAGTCTTGCAGCTCTGCGAGTCCGTTCGAAACCGCGCTGCTCGGTTGTCGCGCCCGGAGCGGGAGCTGCGGCTGCAGGAGGACCTCGCGCGCGCCGCGCTGGGCGAACCGGTCGGGCCTCGACAGGCGGGGGGGGCCGAGGCGACCATGGCGAACCTCGAGGTGACGCGCGGCACGGCGCCCCGGTCGCTGTTCGATTGGAAGGTGTGGGCGCAGGCGCGCCCGAGCCTGTGGCGCTACGGCGACGCCGGTCACCTGGGCCCGAAACGAACGGGGACCTACCCGCAGTTGCTCGCCCACGAGTGGATCACGTGCCTGTGCATGCGGGAGGAGATGGAGTACACTCTGGACACCGACGAGGAGAAGCCGTACCGCGTGCGGGAGAACGACGACGATCCAGAGGTCAACCGGTTCGCGGCGGACTGGGTGTCGTTGCACATGTTCGCCACGTTGCACTTCTTGACGGAGCGCCACCAGTCCGCCTTCGCCTTCCTGAAGAACGGAGGCACGAAGTGGGCCGAGAAAGTGCAGCACCTCACGCCGGATGCCCTGGCGGCGGCCGCCCGCGCTCACGCGGGTGGCGGCGGCGTGGCGGCTTTGGCAAGCAACGCCAACGTGCCCAACGTGGTTCGGGACGCCCTGAACATCATGCAGATGGCCGTCGCGGACGTTGTCGGCACCGACGGACATCGGCGCCTCTGCCGCCACGAGGGGGTTGCCTACATGGCGCTCTTCGGGTGCCCCTTGATCTTCGCCACCCCGAACATAGCGGACACGAAGCAGCCACTGTTCGTCAGGGTGGAGGGCCAGGAGATCCCGCTCGACGAGCGGAGCATTCCAGGCCTGCGCAGCGACGTCATCCCAAAGTACCGAGACATGATGCGGCGCGTCGCCCATGACCCGGTTGGCCAGACCGTGTGCTTCGAGCTCATCATGCGCCTCTTCTTCATCCACGTCCTCGGCGTCCGCCCCGAGTGCGTGGGCGGCCGCCGGCGCGGCGTTCCTCCCAGGAAACGCTGCTCCTGGGACTGGTGCACCGACGGCGTGGCGGCGTCCTCGACCGCCCCGGGGATCTTTGGGCCCGTGCAAGCTTTCCGCGGAGAGATCGAGGCGCAAGGTCGGGGATCGCTCCATCCGCACATCCTGGTGTGGTTGTGCGCCCTCTCGACGCGGCAGCTCGTGCACGTGCTCCGACGCCATCCTGCCGCTTTCCGAGAGCGCCTGGGCAAGTGGATGAGGGCGTGCGTCATGGCCGTGGAGAGCACCTGCCAGAGTTCCGTAGAGGTGTTGCCGCGGCGTTTCGGGCACGTCGACCAGCGCGTGGACCCGCTGCCATTCTCTGTCATCGAACGAGACCAGTCGCGCTTCGACGGGGGCAGCGAGCTGGACGCGCTCCGCGAAGAGAAGCAGGCGGGCGCGGAGCTGACCGAGGACCAGGAGACCTTCCTGGAGACCGAGGACCGGGACTCCTGGCCCCGGCCCGATCTGCCGTTGCGGGACGCCACAGGCCGCGAGTTGGCGCCGGGGGAGAAGGCACCGCCGCGGCCGTCCTCATACGGCATGCCCATCGATGCTTTCGCCGTGGGGAAATGCCCCGCGTACCGGCGGCGCGGCCTCGTGCAGCTAGACACCGGCGCGGGCGAGCCGGCGGCCCGCGGGGTTGTCCCAACGGTCTGCTCGGACGCGCCCGCGGCTCAGTCGGGGCAGCAAGGACTCGGCCAGACGACGCTCGCCGCGGACGAGGAGGCGCCGCCCCCGCCGCCGCCCCCGCCAGGAACGGAAGAGAATCGTGAGGTCTGGGAGCGCCTCTTCTCGAGGGACGTCCGGGAGCTCGCCAAGGAGACGATGACGCACGTGTGCGGAGAGAGCTGCTACAAGTACTCGGGCAACAAGACCGCGAAGATCTGCCGCCGCGGCTTCTACTACATCGTCACGCTTGCGGATTGGCGCAGGCGCAGGCGAGGGAAGCCTCTGCGGAACGCCATGTTCGTGGTGCGATCCTCGACGCACGGCATGCAGGGTCGTCTGTTGCACTTCCAGCTCCACCCGTCTGAGTGCATTACCAACTACGCCGGCGCCGCGGCTGGGCGCTTCAACCTGGATGCGCAGGACCTCCGACGAGTCAGCGACCCCAAAGCGTGGTTGGACGAGGGCGAGGTGCTCCCGCACGTCGGCTCGCAACCCAAGCTGGGGTACATGGGCACGTACGAGCTGGGCGACGCCGACGCTTACGTCAACCGCCCGGAGGTTCCGGAGAAGCCGCTCGCGTGGACGGACGACTGCTCGCCAGAGGAGTGGCGCGACATTATGCTGCAGTGCCAGACGGAGGACGCGGAGGGCGAGGACGCGGATGACGTGGACGCCGCGGACACCTTCGCGGACCAGCTGGAACTGGACGCCCAGGCAGCGTTCAGCGACGGCCTGAACACGGGCTTCTACATCAACTCCTACACGACGAAGCAGTGCCCCAGCATGGAGGGCGTCCTCGTGGAGATGCGGCGCGGCCTGGAGCGGCTGCAGGCGCAGCGACAGGCGCAGCAGGACAAGATGAAGCTGGAGCTGCAGCAGCGAGGAGACGACCCCGAGAAGACTCTGTCCGCCGCCGACCGGAGAGCGCTCGGGGGTAAGTCCAAGTTCGGGGAGACGCTGGATCTGGCGAAGAATCTGTCCGCATCGTACCGCCGATGCTACTGGAAGAGCGGGCCAGAGATGCTGTTCCCGATCTTCTACGGCCACCTCACCTACGCGTCCCACCGCTGCTGGGCGATCTTCATCAAGAAGGGCGTCTTCCTGGCGGCGGAGGCGTGGCGACGCGAGTACGGGCGCTCTCTCCGGCACAAGGCCAAGCAGGACGGGGGCCGCGCCCCGGTGCAGTACCTCGGGCGCGGCGTCGACCCGTGCACTCTCGAGGGGTGGCGCGAGGAAAAGGACGACGACGGGCAGGCGGTGTACGTGAGCCCGGAAGGCCAGCGCTTCCCGGATATCCTGACGGCCTACGAGCACGACGTCGCGACCAAGGCGGCGCGCGACGCGCCCGATCATCGCCAGGTGGTGTCGTTCCTGGCGAAGTTCATGCAGGACATGGGCTGCGAGAGCGAGGAGGCCCCGAAGACGGGGGACGGCTTCCGCATCGTGAGGACCACGAGCGCTCTGGACGACTGGCTGCACCGCGGCGACGACCCGGTCCTCAAGCACATGAGTTTACAGGTGTACGCCATGTGGGTCTACCGCTGCGAGAAGCCCGACGGCCTGTGGCGAGACAAGACCCGCGCGCAGCACCTGGACTTCGACTTCGCGCCGCACTACGCGCTGTACGCGACCCGCAAGCAGCGCCTGGCCCCCGAGCTCCGCGTGCCCCTCTTCGAGGGCTTCACCATGCCGACGATGAACAAAGACTGCGAGACAGCATGCTTGTACAAGCAGTTGCTCCTGAGGCCGTTGGAGGTGGAGAACTCGGAGACGCCGGAGGACGAGCGCATGCTGCGGGCGTTCGCGCCCCTGATGGAGGCCCCCGGCGCGCCCCGTGACATGAATGTGCGCGGGTCAAACTGTTTCACGCGATCTTGGGCGCACTACGAGGCTCAGGCGGACGCGGAGGCCCGCGTCGCCGCGGCCCGCTTCCTCGCGCGGCACGAGTGGCCCTCGATTTGGGAGACACAGGAGGTGCAGGAGGAATTCTTCGCGCTGCACCAGGCGCGAGCGGAGCGACTCGCTGGACCCCGCCCACTGCCCCGAAAGAGAGAAACCCAGGGCGACGGTGCACCAGTACGTCTCCATGATAGCCATGCAGGTGGCGCCGAACCTCGAGGGAATCGCCCTGGCGCGCGAGGAGAAGAAACCCCGGCAGTACCAGAGCGACGCAGCAGTGCAGAGCGCGTACCTCAAGGCGACCATCGGTGGAGGTGCCGGTCAGGACGAGGGCGCCGAGGCGGGCGAGGGCGTGGAGCACCCGGGCGCGCCTCCCAAGCGTGTCGGAGCACACTTCCAGCCGGTCCCGACGTGGGGCATCGACGGGGGGCAGGACATGGCGGACGTGCTGAACTTCGCGCACCGTAAGCGCCTCACGAGGTGGCCAAGGAGCTCCTCGCGCTCCCGTGCATGTCCGAGGCGGCCCGCGAGAGCGCGGGTGCGCCCGAGCCGACGGAGGCCGCGACTGCTCCCGCGCCCGCGGCCGGGTACCGACCGCTGGTGACCGCGGCGCGCGAGGAGAGACACGCCTGGGGAAACCTGCACGACGAACGCCTCCAGGACAATCGCGACGAGGAAGATGCAGGCGCTCCGGGCGGCGAGGACGCGGGCGCAGGCGGCCTGGGCGGCGACCCCGCTGCGGCCAGTTTTGCCAGCAGCGTGTACTCAACGCCCAGCGCGTACATCGCCGCCCTGGTCGCTGGGTTGCCGGAGAACGAGAGACTCACGCGGGACCAGACGCTCTTCGTCGCCAAGTTCGCCAAGGCCTGCGACGACGCCTGGGAGGACGACGCGCAGAAGAAGCCCTGGAGCGAGAGAAAAGTGACGCACTTGCTCCTGTTGGGCCAGGGCGGCTCGGGGAAGACGCACGTGGTGCAGAAGATCGTCTTCCCAGTGGTGGAGTATTTGTGGCCCTCGTCGGCGCAGGACAAGGGCGCCATGATGGTCGTGGCCTTCTCGAACGCGCAGGCGAAGAACATCTCCACGGAGACGGTGAAGGCCAGGACGCTGCACAACGCCTGTGCCCTGCGAGTCCAGAAGTACATCAACGCGAAGATGAGACCGGGGAGCATGCAGAAGAGATTGCAGTGGTTGTGGGAGCACGTCCGCGTCCTGGTCATCGAGGAGGTGAGCATGGTGGCAGCTGCTCTGTACAACGCTCTGGACCTCCGCGCCTGCCACGGGCGCAGTGACACGCACGACGTGCAGGAGTCCACCTACAAGAGGCCGCACCACCACTTCGGCCGCGTCCCCATCGTGTTGCACCTCGGGGATTTCCTGCAGCTGAAGCCCACCGGCAGCATCGGGCTCCTGACGGACGTGAACGAGCTCCTGGACGACGGGTCGTACAAGTACGCGGAGCCGCCGACGGTGGAGATCCAGCACGCCATCAGGGCATTCTCTCAGATCCCCTGCGTCTTCGAGCTGAAGGGCACGAAGCGCTTCGAGCCGGGGGACCCTCTGATCGCGTTCTTGGGCTGCATGCGCGAGGGCAAGCGCTTCCCACCAGAGGTCTGGTCTGCCTGGGAGAAGACGTTGGCCTCTGACAACCACGGCGTCCTGGACCCTCGGCACCAGCACGAGAACTTTCGGCTCGGCTACGGCATGGGCATCTACTGGGAGACGCTGGCGAGGTGGATCAACACGCGCGCTCGTCGCGACGCGCGGCGCCTCGGCGTCCCCCTCGTTTTCCTGCAGGCCGTAGACGAGTGCGGCACGATTCAAGGCGAACCAGACGCAGGCCGGCGCCTCCTGAACGTCCCGAACATGCACAAGACGGGGGACATCCACGGCGTCTTACCGGCACACGTCGGCATGGAGGTCCGGTTCACGGCCGTGCAGGAGGAGCTGAAGAAGAAGTTGGGGCTCGTGCAGGAGCAACGGGCCACCATCGTGTCCTTCGAGTTTCACGCAGACGACGAGCGGGACTACGAGGAGTGCGCGCCGGGCCAGCTCTTCCGCCCCCGCTTCCTACCGCAGGGAATCTGGCTGCATGTGCACGGCTTCCAGGAGTCCCCGATCTACAAGGAGGTCGCCGAGGTGCTGCTGCAGGGCACCGAGGGCGCTGACGACGACGGCGAGGCCCAGGCGCGGGCGAGGAGCTTGCTCATGTTCAGGCCCAGCGAGCAGGAGTTCACGTGGCAGAGCTCGGGGGCGCACACTGTGCGCCGCTCGGGATTCACGCTGACGCACGCGTCCTACCTGACCTCCACGCTGTCGCAGGGCCAGACGCTGCGCAAGGGCGTCACCATCGACTGCGCCAGGGATGAGGACGCTGGCCGCACGGGCATGTCGGACGATATGTGGTGGCTGCACCTCTACGTCATGTTCTCCCGCGCCACGTGCATGCGGAACATGCTGATCCTGCGGCCGCCCGCGCGAGAGTTCCTGGAGCGCGGGCCGCCGGCGTCACTGCGGAAGGCGCTCCAGGAGTTCGACGAGAGAGCGGTGGACTCCAGGGCTGAAGCGGAGCAGCTCGCGGCAGAGCTGGGCTTCGTGCTGCCGCCCGCCTGAGCGCCGCGGCGCGCGCGAGGAGGCCCGCGGGGTTGTCCCAACGGCCTGGCCCGCGGGGTTGTCCCGACGGCCTGCCCTCGCGCTCCGGCGGCCCGCGGGAGTGCCCCGCAGGCATGGCTGGCCCGAAGGGTTGACCCGACGGCTTCGCGATCTGGCCGTCGGCAAACGCGCGCGTTCTGACCGAGGCGGCGACGGCGCCGAGGAAAATCGACTTGCTTCCCCCGACCGGGGGGAAAGGGACGTGCACGTGGAAAAGAGGCAGGAGGAGGATGAGGACGGAAGGGGTATGGGGAGGGCGATGATGAGGAGGAGGTGGAGGAGGAGGAGGAGGGAGGAGAAGGAGGGGGGGGGAAATAGAAGAACAGGAAAAGATGGCAGAGGAGAGGGCGATACCAGGGTGTTTGCCATGGCAGGGAGGAAAGGGATAAGGGAAAGCTAAACAGATTATCATGCGGGGTCCTTCCGTCGGAGTAATTAACATTTTGGCCCCTCCCCTGACGTCTTCGATTGGGGTTCCGAGCTGCGCGCGCGAATTTAATCTGTTGGAATAGAGACAGCGGGGGTGCCCGTCGATGGGGCGCTTCCAGGCCGCGGCCGGCGTGAGATCCGCGAGCGCTGCGAGCGCGTCGCGGAGCGGCCCGGGCCTTGCGAACTCGACGCGGCTGGGCAGCGCTGCCTTCGTCGGACAGGCTCTGGCGCCCCGTTCCGCCAGAGCTGCGCGGGCCTTTCAACTGGGGCCATGCAGGGCGCGCGCGACCCCGCTCACTTCTGCGGCACTTACAAACGCGCGCGGGTCCGTGCGTTCCAGCGACCTCGCCCATCGGGGCAGGGACCTGGTCCAGAAATAACCTGGGCCAGGCGCGGAACTCATTGACGCGTTTTTTTTTTTTCGCCGTGCCCACTGGCCTGATCTTGCTCCTGTTGGCCTTGGCCTCCTGCCCCTGGTTCGTGCCTCACCTGGCCGTCGCTTGTTTGTCCCGGTTGGCCCGCGACCGATGGCCGCGCTTTTTGGCCCTGTCACACTCGGGCCCCCCGCTTCTCGCGCTCGTGCCTGACAACGCCACCACAAAAGCAAAGATGGAACAGGCTAATGCGGGGCGAGAGGGAAAGGGAAGGAGGTGGTAGGATGCGATAGGAAGCGAATTCAGGAGGTATTGTAGGGAGGCGGATAGAGAAGGCAATGGGAGGACGGGCGTAATCGATCCGATATGCAATTCGCCAACCTATTGTGCCTAGTGTTGGCCCCGCCGCCTCCCCGAGCTCTCCTGCCCCTGCCGTGTGGTTCGAGGTTCTTGCTCCGGGTGGAGCGCGTGGCCCTCGCCTCGCCCGAGCTGCCGCTGCGCCGGCCGCCCAGCCCGATCCCGGCGCCGATCCTGCCCGCCATGTCTCGCCGCGGCGAGGTGGCCTCGAAGCGCTAGGGCGACGGGGTCGACCGCGCGCTGCAGAGGCACGAGCCCGACGACTACGAGGACAGCCGCGCGGGCCGTCGCCGTGACAGCCGCCGCCGCGGCCGCCCTTGCCGCGGCCGCGGGCGTCCGCAGCGAAGCCCGCGGCGCTGGCAATGGGGGCCGCGGCGCCAGCAGCAAGAAGCAGCAGGGCGGACGACGGCGAGCGCGCGGACCTCGAGGGCCTCTTCTCCGAGGAGGAGGACGACCCCCGAGCCTCCTCCGGCTCGGTGGCGCGGGGCTCGCACATCGACGACGACGACGACGACGAGGGCGGCGCCGTGAAGAGCGCCCCCATCATGGGCGCGGCGGCGCGGGGCAGGTCGAGGGCCAGGCGCAGGGCGCAGGCTGCCGTGCCGCCGAAGCCGCCGCGCCAGCTCCGCAGGACGGCTGGCAACGACAAACCAAATATATTCAACCCCTCCTCGCCCGCCCCTCTCTCATCCTACGAATGTCCGTTGACTCCCCGCCACTTTCCCCGCCCGCTCAATCAAGCGGACAGGCCCCTCCCCCCTTCGTTCGGTTTTCTCTCTCCCATCTCCCCCCCCGCCAATCCCCGCGCGCATTTCGGCGCGCTCCTTGCGCGGTCCGTCGCCCTAAAGGGGGGCGTCGCCGAAGGGGCGGGGTCGGCGCCCGGCCCCTGCCAGGGCCGCGTCGGAGGAGAAGTGGTTCTCGTCGTGCAACAGGACGCCGGGCGGCAACCAGGACCTCAAGAGGGCCCCCAGCACCTGTCGATTCTGGGGGCGATCGACGGCCGCTACCTGGCGGCGCCGCCGCTGCCGGACGCGCCCGACTACCACTTGGCCAGGCTCCGCTGGGAGAGGGTGGAGATGATGAGGGGGGTGAGGGTGGGGATGAAGATGGGATGGGGATGATGAGGGAGAAGATGATGATGCAGCTGGGGACGAGGATGATGATGATGCTGAGGATGATGCCGATGCTGCTGATGATGCTGGCGCCGATGAGAAGGGGGAGGAGGGGGGGGGGCGGGGATGCGAGGGTGCGGAGCAGGATTCTATGAGGATGAGGAGGGATAGTATGAGGATAGAGATGGGGCTTGGGATGAGGATGATGCCTAGAAAGTGGATGCAGAGGGGGCTACGGATAGACATGGGGATGGTGACGAGGACGATGATACGATGGGGATGAGCATTGAGGATGGGGAGGATGAGGATGCAGACGGGGGGGATCTTGGGGGCGATGGGGAGGAGGACGATGATGGCAACGAGGAGGAGGAGTAGGGCCAGGATGCTGAGGATGGCGAGGATGCTGGGATGATGGGGATTCCCAGGATGAGGAGGAAGGGGGATTTGGAATGGCGAGGGTGAGAGGATGACGAAGATGGCAACGACGAAAAACGAGGCTCATCTTCGTGGTCACTGGCAAGGGCCCCGCCGCGCGGCTGGCCTC